CATTCGTACTTATGTCTTTTATAAGGTGGATACAAAGAAAGAGCACATTTCCCAAATTTGGTTGGGATAATGGCAAAATTGGCGACCTTCTAGTTTCCCCCAACCACAACTATTTTATTCCTCCAACCCTTTTTAGATTTAGGATTACCCCTATATAAAGAACAACCAGGGATCAGGAAGAAATGCAACTGAAAGTCATTCCTCCTCGAATGACTCGTATAACGAGTCTTTACAATCTTATAACAAAAAAATATATCAATGATAGAAAGATCTAGGTCGCGGCTCAAATTTAAAGCTAACAAAATAGAAATGACCCTAAACTAATTTGGGTTTACTTGATTTGACTTGTTTATAATGAGGTGGTGTACGGGATGTAAGGGAATCCTGAGGACTTCTAAGTGTAAAGAGGAAAAGGTCATCTCCCCATCATCAAGCCATTCACCGACTTCATAATCAACGTTATTAGGGTAAGGTCTAAGTTGGATATTAGTAGAAACCTGGTAACGGCAACTCAAGACATCTATGTTGATTGACTTGAGAAAGAGAAACCTATAAATAAAGAAAAGGAAACAGATTGGAAAGAAGAGCACAACTAACCTCACTAAGAAAGGAACGGAATCAACCGGAAAACTTGCCAAGAAGAAGAGATCACCGAAAATAGAGGAACAATGACGTCAAGATTGATTGAAAGTTTCAGTCAAGCAAAGTACAACACCAGCAGAGAGAGAAAAATGAAGAAAGAGAGAAGCACGTAAAAACAAGAGAGTAACCGCGATTGAGAAGCCAAACAGTCATATAATGATGATGACTTGAAATCAAAAGATACTTGCCGCACCAAATACGTAACAACGCGAATCTCTCATCAATATATGTGTGGCCCAAGAGCACGACTACATATAATTGTCCCATATTCATAAGGGACAGTTGTAGGAGCAAGGTGAAGGAGTAGATCCATCCAGGCCCAATAAAGGTAGATCCACCCAGACCCAGTGTTGAGCCTAACATCACAACCCCGTCCAAGAAGGGAACCGAGCCTAAAAAAAAGCCTTCCAATTCTGTACTAGTTATCTTTTAAGTCAAGCCCAAAATGAGATTGGCCCATAAAGCCCAATACGTGGGAACCAAGAACCAAGAAAAAAATTAGGATAGAAGGAAATGAACTATAAAGAGAGGCGTTTAAGTCAACATTTTATACCTACAGTTATCTCTACAAATTTCGGGAGAAGAAAAAACAAAGATCTCCATAAATGTTAGTGGAAGTAAAATAATACTCCCTCTGTCCTATTTTACATGTCGGTTTCGAGAACCGTGACTCACAAATTTGTGAGTCACGATTCCTGAAGCCGACATTTAAAATGGGACGGAGGAAGTACCACATGTACATATTATATAATTTTTCTTTTGATTGGCAAAATACTAAAGGACTCATTTGTCTTTATGGAGACCCGACCCTCACCAATTCTTTTGAAAATAGAAGAGATATCACTAGGGGTGCATTTAGTAACGTTTTCGTTTTCTGTTTTTGCAGCCTTAAGAAAGCAGAAACATGATTTTATTTTCTTGAGTGAAAATAGAAAACAGAAATGATGTTTATTAACACTTATTGTTGCCACAAATTTGAAAACATAAAACAATAATTATGTTTAGTAATACAACATATTTGTTACAAAATGTATATAGTATTCTTTGAATTTTTTATTTTTTATTTTATTTTTTTCATTTCTATTTTATTTTTTTCATGGCAAGAATTTTAGGAGTTAATAGTGATTAGAGGAGAGGGCAGATGACTTGAATACGAACTCTCGGACACAGGGAGCAACCCAACCACTCAGGCAAGACACTTGTTTACAAAAAACCCAATACATTATAAGTACAAAATTAGATATACCAAGACAAAATATTCCCACCAATTATGTATATAAATACATGTATATGCATAATGTATACATTTATTATGTGATATATAATATATTTAGCTATGATAATTTATTATGAATAAAAAATATTAAATATTATATCTTATATGTAATAAAATATATATTGTGTTATAATATTGTAAATTAATTATAATTTAATATTTACATATAATATAATATAGATATGATATATAATAATATAAAATATCTACTGCTTAATAATTTAATAAAATTATATTCTATATCAAAAATTATTTTGTCACAAAAAATCATTTACATTATTATTTAATATATTATATATTAACATATATTTTTATCAAATAAAAACTAATACACAATATTTAATTTATTCTATATTAAAAATATATATTTTTATTAACATTTAATATGCAACTTAGTATATAATACAAATAATATGAATTTTATTTGAAATGAATAGTGTCTGTGCACTAATATTAATAAAAACGTTTCTCTGTTACAGTGCCAAAAACATAAGAAACGTCATTTTGATGTTTTCTCTTTTCTTCACAAAAATTGAAAATGTTTTCTGTTATAGAAAAACAAAAATATTTTATTAAACGCAATTTTTGTTTTCGTTTTACTTTTTTAAAGGTTGACAACAGAAAATAAGAAACGTTTCTCATTACTAAACGCAGCCTAGGTTACAATCTTTGATGTTATTTAGATATTATATGTAATTATATAAATATGCAGACCATTGATCAAGTATGAGAAAATGAATTTGAATAAGGGATATAATTGTGTTACGCAAATAATGACTAGATTTCTTTTTCAGTTATGAGAAAGATAACCAATGGTTTTAATTTTTAATTTTGTATATTTATGTGGTAGATTTGACCTGATTTTAGTTGTGGTCCGATTTTAGCTAAAGGGACATTTTCCCAAATGTACCGTCCAAGACTAATTATTTCTAAATGTAAGGAATTCCCAGTGTGAAAATTGGCGTTTTAATCCTATCCACGGGGCAATTGTAGGGTGGTTTGACGGCTAATATGAAAGTTGTTCACCGTGCCATTTGAGGCTTCATTTACTGGGTTCTTCTCTACTTTAGAATGTTGGCTATTATCCAGATTGGGTTTAGACATCTTTCAGCCTCTTTTTGAAAAGCTTTTTCTTGTGTTTAAACTACTTTATTTTCTTTTAGGATTTGTTAACACACGTGATTGAAGGAGATTTGGGTCATAATGTCTAGTATTGTTTCTTTCTACCAATGCCATTCAAAGGAGTTTAATGGGTACATCATAATATGGGTTTGTATATATTATAATATATATAAAGGATAAAATGGAATTTTATTTTATTATTATTATTATTATTATTATTATTTCTTTCTGAAAATGGTTTGTTTTACTTTTCTGAGTTAGTGGAGAGTGCAAATGGAGACATTTGGGGATCTTTTATAGAATTAACTCACTTGCGCAATCATTGAATTTCTTTCCTTTTTAATATTTATTTATTTATTGTGAAAGGGATTGGGTTCAATTCTCCACATTAAAAAATTAGTTATTGCTACTCCACTTATATTTTTGTTTTATTCTAATGCTATTTTGAATGCTTATCTGATTAGTTAATTAGACTAAAAATCTTTTTCTTTTAATCCCTTCTGTCATTACATGACATATTTAATAGGCTGATAATACGATGCCATCAGTGGAAGTAACATAATTAAGTTTTTCTGGTTTGTTTATTAGAAACGTTCAAATTATTATGTTTGGTAATTTAAAATAAATTTAAATTGAAAACAAAGAATATTCACCCCTTCCATGGTTGCAATTGTAACCGCGAATCCATTTGAAAGCTTGTGCATAAGCTTGTACATGTATGCTTTTATCGATGGGGGATTTAAGCAGGGTCCGTATTTTAAAATAAATATTGGTTGATGTATTTACTCATAATTGATAGTAAAAAAAGAACAAAAAAAATGCATTTACTCATAATTGCTAACCGAGTCTTTTAACGAGAACAAGAATACAAAGATGCTCTAGAATTTTATTAGTCAGGATTCAGGGCTAATATTAATGTACCCAAAAATAATAATAATAAGGAATATTCATTAACTAAAAATAAAATGAGGATTATTCTAAAACATTTATCTATTACAGAAGTTTATATATTTTCAAGGCAAATTTTATTTTATGTTTTATTTTTTATTTTTTTTCTTTTTCCTTCTAATGGTTAACAAGTTGCCAAATTATTTTTATTTTCATTTTACTTTTTTTGACTATTTGAATAGTGAGTCTCTTAAATCATTCTATTTATAAACCATTCCGTAGTACAACATATAATATATCTGTTATGCCTGCGGAACTCGTTTTCTTTTTCTTTTTCCTGGTAATGGTTAACAAGTTGTCAAATTATTTTTATTTTCATTTTATTTTTTGACTATTTGAATGGTGAGTCTCTTAGATCATTCTATTTATATCACGCGTACAAATTATAAATCTTTTAGACTATTTTATAATACATCATATAATATATTCGTTACGTCGTTACGTCTATACAGCTCATTTTTTTTTTTTTTTGGTCAACAAGTTGTCAAATTATTTTTATTTTCATTTTACTTTTTTTGACTATTTAAATAGTGAGCCTCTTAAATCATTCTATTTATTTCACGCCTAGTAATAATAAGTGTTTTAAACCATTTCATAATACATCATATAATATATCCGTTACGTCTACGTAATTATCGTCTTTTATCATCCGAATATATATATATATATATACATATAGTATACCCACATCTATACACATAGTTTGAAATTCAACTTCTAGAGGAGTACAACTTAATAATTGAATCATTCATTCAAAGACATTCACACAAGTTCAGTAAGCAATGCATTTATAATAATATGTCAACAATTCAAACATAATCATACAGAAATGAGTATTATATAAAAGTTGAAGGTCAACATATGAATAGGTCCTATCATTGCATCGCACCATATATATGGGGCTGCTTTTGTTTCATGAATTTTCCGCCCACACCACTTGTCATTGTCAGTCGCATCTCTAATTTTCAAACTTCTACAACCACTATGGCCCACCTTTGCCTCAGCTGGTAGGTCCACTATGAACTGCCCATACGAGATGTTCCACGTGGCAGTTTTTAGACAACTGGATAGAAAAAGTCAAAGAAATGTGAATTTTTTTGGCTTGTCTGGGGTTTGACCGCCGAATCAGCAATGTGAGAATCTATGACTGGTAAAAGAAGGAATAGTACAAAAACAACAATACTAAGAAATAAATAAATAAAAAGAAAAAGAAAAAGAAAATTTTCTATCTAGAGTTTTCATAGCACTACTCAGACCATCAATATATAAGCCGCTTTCTCTTACCAAATACATGTGTATGAAAATATTGTCCTCTTAATAAAACCCTCTCTCTCATTGTTTGAAACTGAAACTGATTATTCATTCTCAGCTTTTCTCGTTGTACACTCTCTCTTTCTCATTGTTTGCAATTCATTCATATATATATATATATACATGGATATGGATGAAATTGAAATTCCTCAGTATTTCATATGTCCCATATCTCTTCAGATCATGAAAGATCCTGTCACGGCGGTGACTGGCATCACGTATGACCGGGAAAGCATCGAGCACTGGCTGCTGACGGCGGAGGACAGCACGTGCCCGGTCACGAAGCAGCCTTTGCCTAGAGACTCTGATATGACGCCAAACGTCACACTCCGCCGGCTCATCCAAGCATGGTGCATTATCAATGCCAACAATGGAGTAGATCGGATTCCTACCCCTAAATCCCCTCTCAACAGGTCTCATGTTCGTAAACTCGTTCGAGACCTTAAAGTGCCTCACCTCTGCGTAAATTCGTTAAAGAAAATGGAAGAAGTCGCCAACATGAACGAAAAGAACAGGAAATGCATGGTGGAAGCGGGCGTGACAAGAGAGATGGTTTTGTTGATAGTGAAATGTTTCAAGGAAGGAAAATTTGAGGGTGTCGAGGAAGCTTTTAGGGTTCTACATCTTATATGGACTCCGAATTCTGAAAACAAGCAGTTGGTTAAAGAAAACTTTGATTTTATTGAGTCAATGAGATGGGTTTTGGGATGTGATCATGTTGGGAATCATGTGGAGGTGAAAACCCATTCCCTGTTAACTATGAAAATGATCTTGGAGGTTGTGAGTTCGAATGTGCTTGAGCGATTAAGGCTCGATTTCTTCAAGCAGATAGTAAAGATTTTGAGAGAGAGAACCTCTCATGATCAACAAGTTCAGAAAGCTATATTGCACATCTTAATAGAAGCTTGCCCTTGGGGGAGAAACAGGATGAAAATCATCGAGGCAGGGGCGATTTTCGAGCTCATTGAACTTGAATTGGATAAGCCTGAGAAGAAGGTGACTGAACTCATATTCTGCCTTTTGGCTCACTTGTGTTCTTGTGCTGATGGGAGAGAGCAACTTCTGAGTCACGCGGGCGGTGTTGCCATGGTGTCGAAAAGGGTCCTCAGAGTCTCTCCGGCAACAGATGATCGGGCGATTCACATACTTATGCTGATCTCTAGATTCTGTGCGACTCATCAACTTCTTCTAGAGATGTTGAGGGTTGGAGCTGTGTCAAAGCTTTGCATGGTGCTCCAAGCCGACTCCGAAAAATATTTGAAAAACAAAGCAAGAGATGTCCTTAGGATGCACTCTAATGTATGGAACAACTCTCCTTGTATTGCTGTGTATCTCTTAACAATGGACACCAGGTGACATTTTTTTAAACATCCAATCAAAATTTTCTCAATTGGATGAATAAGCCTTTTTTTGTGTATAGCAGTAGTAGTTGGTATTTACATTTGATGTGGTAATTTTTGTTTTTGAACATTATATGATTATGAAAAGAATAATGATTTGTCCTCGGAATCGGAGGACCAAAATATTGTTTTTTCACTGCTCGTATGATTTGCTTCTCGTCACAGAGGCATCATTGTTATAAGGAAATGATCGTCATGAAAAAAATTTCCTGATGTGTTGCTATGCTTGTTCAGTTGGTGTGCTTCAAACAAAAAAAAAAAAAACTTCAAGCAAAATTGTTAGAATATCAGAAGTTAGAGATGCAAAGGCTCGAAACCGAGCAAGGGCAACTGGGAGCGATCCAACCGCACTGTATTTTTGTTGAGCTCTCCTTGCCTTCTTACCCCAAAAAGTGTTCGTTGAGGCTGGATAAATTTTAATGCCCCAATTTCTTTTTACTCTGGGGGATGAATGACTGAGCCATGATATACATGCTTGACCCTTTTTGATATACTATTCTGATATGTACTTTGAATCCCAAGATTATACTAATTCCATTCATAATATTTTTTCCCCCGATATTTTAAAGTCTTTTTCACTTATTAATTATTAGACGACTGCTGATTATTATTAATAATAATAGATAGTTTGTGTTGACGGTTACAAGTTATATATTATAATTTTTGAAGAACAGATATACTTTGTGTTGATCTATTAGCTCCTCCTTTGATAGCATTAACTTTGCAATTCAATTGATAGCATTAAGGTAATAATTTGTGTGGAGAGTTTGGGATTATTCATTATTGTATGCCATACAAATAGGGACAATGGGGAGGGTTTGGGACGGTATCTAATTTTCATTCTTATTTTCGTTTAATTTTTCCATCCTCAAAATCACCCTAAAACACGTCAAGTTTTCAAAGTAGTCTCCATTTTCATCCCATTTATATAATCGATACTCCAAAACCGCCCCTAACAGGACGGGACGAACCCCACCCGAATACAGAATTTTGCAATCTACATGCAATGCCGAATATTTTTTGTAAATTTGATTTCTTTTAGTGCTTTAATTACATACATACGTGGTGAATACTTGCATGTATTGGTTACTTTACTTCACCAGATAAATTAATTGTCATTTGATTCTGGTAGGATATAGGTGCATAGAGAAACTCTTGTGCATAGGTTATTTAAAGCGGCAGTCATTTATTTAATTATTATTATTATTTATTTTTTGGCAACAACACAAACACAGAAAACAAAGAAACAACCCACACCCAACCACCAACCAAACAGCACTAAGAAACTGAACCCAAAACATCATACATAGCCAGATGCACAATCCAAGAAGGGATTGGAGTCAACACCAACAGGCACGAGAAAGCTCCGCCAAGGCATGAGCCACCCAATTACCGGCGAACATGACTTAAAGAGGCCAAAGAAAAACGCTGAAGATCCAACTTGATGTCAAAGCAAATAGACGCAACCATCCACTACAGCATCATCAACCACCTTAGCATCAGATTCAAAGCATAGAAAAGTATATCCTAAGCATCAGTCTACCCGCGTCCCTTTATAGAATGCACTCTAACCAAAAGAATGAAACAAGTGATTGGTTTCTATAAAGACGCACAGTTATGTTAAAAGTAAAACGCTTACAATAGCACGTATAATATAAAATATACACTATCACATATATTAAGATAATGTATAAAAAATTACAAACTTACTTTAGTAATATGTTAAGAAACATGGTCATATGATCAATATATAAAATTATTATGTATTTTACACAATCATTTTATATAATCACATCAGTCTATTTCTTTTTTTCATTACATTAATGAATCAACTTTATATTAAATAGGTTTGTAATGGTCTTGGCGTAACATGTATATGACTCGTGATTAGTTGTTTTGGTAAATATTTTTTTATACGAGCAACTCTATATTGCCCTTTTTACATTAATGAATCAATTATATATTATCCTTTTTATTATTTATTATTTTTATATATCTGATTTGTTAGACTTATAACCCTTCTTTAGCTCCATCCATTATTTTAAACCTTACGTAAAAATGTATTTGCAAATAACAACCAATCACGTATTATGCCATGACTAACATAATTTTTACAGATCTACTTAATATAGAATTGATTCGTTAATGTAATAAAAAAAAAAAAAAAAAGTATGAGAAATGAAATACGTTCTTGTGGTGGTGTAAAAAGGTTATGTAAAATACACAATAATTTTACATATTAATAACGTGATAGTGTATCTTAACATATTGTTAGAGATTAAAAATATTTACACATTATACATAATAGTATATATTTTATACAAAAAAAATATTTTAATAGCTGATGCTATAAAGAAAAAAGATATACTCTTAGTGTGTATGACATTAAACGGATGTTCGGTAAGTGAAAATTACGATTTTCGTAATAAGATGTCGCCTTCTCGATGCTAAAGCAACTAACTCTTAATCCTAATAATGGAATAATGGAACTTTGTCTTCAGTAATAATTGCATTGATTTAGCAATGGGCGAGATCTTTTAAGATCAATAGACTCCGTATTTTGGGTACTCATTGATTACAAATTTCAGATATATATTCAAGATGGAAACCCATGTATAATTTGTTTTGCCTTAGATTTGTTTGATCACATAAAACAGAGCCTAGTGATTTTGATAAATGGTTTATATATATTTATATATTAAATATATACGTAGTATTTTTTAGAACAAATTTTATGTAATCAAAGGAAATAATAATAATAATAATAATAATAATAATAATAATAATAATAAATATTTATTATAATTTATTATTATTATTATTGATAAGAAATTCACACAACTACTTTGCTCCTTTAGAAATTTGAACTTCTGCCATATGAAACATGTGCAAGAAACACCTCTACTTTTTATAAAGTGCATATAAATCCCTTTATCTTGAAGAATTGTGCAAATTGCCTCCATGGTCATTAATTTTGACCATATTTTTTTTAATTTATAAAAGTCCCAAAATAACCTTAATGGAATTTTAGGTATTTTTTTAATACATAAAAATAAAATAAAATAAATAAATAAAAAATTGGGGTTTTTATATATTTTTAAAATAATGCCCTTATACTTTATTTAGTTGATTTATTTTGCTTTATTATTATTATTATTATTTATTTTATTTTTCATTATTTTAAATTTTTATTATATTTATTTTTTTTGTTTTTCATTTTTATTTTGACTTAAGGTTGTGTTCTGCTTTATGAAATTGGAATTGGTGAGATTGGAAAAAATTTTGGTTTAATTTTCTTAATTTCTTTTCTCCAATTATATCAATTTCAATTTCAATTTCAAAGTTTCAATTCCATGCAACCAAACATATCATAAGGAAATTTTAGGTATTTCAATATTTAAATTGAAAAATTATCCTTATTTATTTAATTTGAAAAATGCTGGGTCTTTTTTTTTTTCTTTTTTTTCTTTTTAACATTACGGAGGTATTTGCATATTGTTTGCACTTTTGTTCCATTATTTTTATTTATTTATTATGTTTTTACATTTTCATAGGAATGTTAAACCTGCTCTTCGTCAATCTCATTCAAAGTATTAGCTTTGACTTACTAATACTTTGTATTATCAGTCTTTTCATCTACAGGCACAAGGAGATGATCAAAAGTGGACTCGTAAATCTAATTCAAAGTATTTGTTTTGACTTACTAATACTTTGTATTATCAGTCTTTTCATATATACGCAGGTGGATATGGAGGTGAAGGTGTTCCATGTAAAAAACCCACATCCTATTTTGCTAGGGTTGACATTTATGTGTGACATAAGATCCGTTATATTTGATTTCTTGTGGACTTTAATGTACAGTTTTTGCAATTTTGTTGATGTAGGTTCATAAAAATAAACAGAGTTTAAATTATATACACATCCGATCTCCAATTCATAGTTTGAATTGAACGATAGTATTATGTTTTAACAAAAAAATTATTAGGTATTCTGAAAGTACCACGTAATATCTCCAATAAAGATTGATTATTATTATTTTTCTTTATGATAAAAAATAATTATTCATTATTTGAATAGATGTAATAGATTGTAAGTGAGAACCTAAGTAATTCCACAATCTAAAAATACCATCCAATTTAATATAGGGGGTGTGAACTACGTGACATGTAATGTATCTAGACTTGGTTTAATTTTTTCCCGGCTTTGGTAATTTCTTGTCTAATTACGTACCTAATCTCTCAAGAACCCAAATCTGAGTGGTCAATAGGAGAATAGCTGACAAGGAGAAATTGGTCCTCTCATTGCGTTATAAATAGTACACAAAAACAATCATTGTGTTTGTAGAAAAACATGTATGATATTCAAAATGGCGCCAAAGAGAGAAATATCAATTCCTACCATGAAGATTGCTTCATATTGATTTTTTGTTCTTCAAACTTTGAAACAATGTGGATCAAGGTACTATGAATGTTCTCTTTGCTTTATTGGTAGTTTAAGATCTTGGGGTATCAAAGGAGGAATACTACTGATTTAAATGAGTTTATATAATTTATAGCATGTGGATGTCAATTTGGCTCTCAAATCAAATAGCATAACTGAATATATCTCAAATGTAAATAAACCTCTTTGATTGAAATATTTTCCAATTAGAGAGAAGAAATATGTTCAGATAGAGTGAGAAAAACTCCTAAGCTTAGGGTTCGCAGTCTTATTTTGAGAGATCAAATGTAAATCAAGTTCTCTATTGAAAAACTTCCCGAACAAAGAGAAAAAATCTACATAGAAACAGTGAGAAAATTCGTAATACTAAAATTAGGGTATGATTTTAGGAGCCACAACGACGAGCGAGAAGCCAGAGGGGAACTAGAGAGAGTGAAGAGCGGGAGTAGAGAGAGAAAGTGAGGAGCGATTGGACAAATAAGAAATGAATAATGAAAAAATAAAAATTAAAAAATAGGCCCATGTTACTACAGCAATCCGGTGCAACACTTATTAAAAATGCTGTTAAAAACATATCAGTAACAACATTTTTTTTATAATTGTTGTTAGAATTTTGCTACCACATCAATATTTTGTTTTAGTGTAACTTACTAGGCAAGGTTTAGAACTTTCATTATTATCCATTGTTCCTAGAAAATATTCCTATTGAAGTGTATTTTGATTGAGCAAAATATGAATGATCATTACAAGGGTGATAAATTTGTGAAATTGTAAGTTGAAATTATGGATAAGAAGCTAAATTTAATTTGATAAGTTGCACCTGTGAAAGCAGAAGTTATTACCGATGCAAGTGGTCACTAGACGAAGTTGCCCCGGTGTAGGTGGCAGTTGGATCTGTGCAAGGGGTCACTGACAAGTTACGTGGTTAGTGGCAGCTTGCACAGTTCAAATTTATATTCTTTCAATTTTTTTTATTTTTTATATTTAATAATAATAATAATACAACAATCTTCTACTACAAATGCA